GAGGATGATGATGGTACTGGTGATGATGGAGGTGATGGATGATGATGATGATGATGGTAGTGGTGATGATGGAGGTGATGGATGATGATGATGATAGAGGTGATGGATGATGATGATGATGATGATGATGTTGGTGATGATGATTATGATGAGGTTAATAATAATGATAATGGATGATGGTGATGATGGTGGTCATGTTGCTTGTCATGATGACAATAATAATGATTATGGCAATAATGACGCAGATAAATCTTAATGTATAATTGTCCATTAAAGGTTCGTTACTTTTTATAGTTTTCGATGCATTCAAACAGAAACAGTTCAACTGCTTCGATCGAGCTTGCTCTTGAAAAGTCTGTCTTGCCATCCAGAACCTTATAAAAGAGGTTTAAAAAAAAGAGAATCAATAAAATCAGAACACGCCATTTCTCACTTTAAACGTCGTCTTGACCAATCACAACGCGCACGCAAGTGCAATGCATATCCTTGTTGGTCGCGTGCTTCAAACAACTTCACGTTAATTTCTCTACTTGTTTTCACAGTTGAACCTCACCTTGCACAACTTGATAATGTTTTCAGGGTCTGTTTTTCTGACTTTCTTCTTTGAGGGATATACATGTTCGATAAAGAGACGAACAGCTGTCAAGCGCGCCCACAGAGGTCTGTAGGAAGCAAAAACAACAGGTAAAAACTACCCAATGAATAGTACGCTCTGATTGGCTAAACACTTCTTTTTTTTTATCTTTTTTTCTTTCTTCCTTCCTTTTTTCCTTTCTTTCTTCCTTTCTTTTTCTTTCTTTCTCTTTCTTTCTTTCCTTTTTTCTTTCTTTGTGTCATTCTCTAATAATGACCCGCATGAGATGTACGAGTTTGATATCTAATTCTACGTACGTAGAGTATGGTTCTCTCTTTACTGACCTACAGCWATCAATGATACTCATTCTTTTCTCTTCRTCTTCCAGTTGGTTTCTGTCGATGGTATTCAATATCCTCTCTGCTGTAGCTCTGACAGCAACCACATCATCACACCATTTYTTTGCTTCACCGGAATTGTTAAAGCTCTTTTCCAGTGGTTCTAGGCTTTCCAARCACATTTGAAGGGCCATGGCATCCACGATCTAGAGAAAATAGCTACATAAGCTACAAAGTTACAGGGTTTGTAAAACTGCTATATTTCTTACCATTTCATTTTCGCCTTACCATTTCATTTTCGTCTGGGGTGAATATATCAAGAAGCTTGGGTACAATACCAGGAAAGCATTGTACRAGWTGACTGAAGCAAGCTATTCGATGCTCGATGTAAGAATAAGCCTTGTGAACAAGAGAGATGTTAGGGAACTCGAAATCGKCGTCATGTGAAGCCGATAGGGCGTGCTGGTGTCTTGCTTCCACGACYAGRGCTCGTGCAATTAGCTGCAACRAAAMAGAATAGTGGCATAAGAAAAKCTGTTGTTATTGATCGGGTGCGCTTATAATACCAGCCTCTCAATAGGACGCGTGGAATGGTCATCGCGACGACGTAGGATTGARTAGATGTCAATCAAGGCGTTTCCAAGTCATTCCATGTACCATTGAAAACTGACAATGTCAGAGAAAAACTTGAAATGACTTCTGCCAAAATTCTATTTTGTCGCAATGAACAACAAATCGTACGATTCCTTGCGAGATATTGAGAAGCACCGTAACATGTTATTTACCTCGTCTTCTCCTTGCTCCACAGGTTTACAGTTCATGTGTACGAAGTCGTGGATATATCTCTCCATAGCATCCTGGTTCTTCTCGATGACATTTATTTCATCACAAATGTCTGATTGTGCGACAAATCCTTGAAAGCATTCTTGGATGCTTAAGTGTTCATCTGAGTTTCCTATAAGAGGAAATACCATTATTAAAGCTAAARACTGGATTCGACATGTGGGCAGGACTGAAGACTGCCATGCGCATGCGCGTAASTTGACGAACAAATGGCAAGCAAGGCAAAGCTGAACAAGGCTACCTTACCATTAACACACTTCATTATCATGGGCTATTCCGTGAGGTTCCCTCCACACGCACTACCACTATATTCACTAATTTACAACACTCAACTCACATGTTGATTTCTACGGAGGGATAAAAACCTTAGAATGTGGAGAGAAATCCTCGAATGAATGAACAACGAACCCGCGACCCCAGGCTTGAACTGTACAGTTTTCAAACACAGCACCATAGCAGCACATGCCACCCGAAAAGAAGTACTTACCTGACACGCTYTTTGCCTGGAGCCAAATGTTGTCAATATTTTCTTTCAACAGCCACGAGAATGGAAGCTGACATTGAAACCAATGAGAATCTCGTCCAGATGACGTCACGGGCACGTGTTTTTTGATTTGCCTGCCATCTTCATCATTTGTTAGAACTGAATCATAGTGGAGTTGAGCCAGTTTATYATCTGCAAAGATCTTTAGCCATAGGTCTTTAATCCAGGGTACATCTGTCTGTAGTAATTCTAGATTCCCATCTCTATCCATGTACGCGATCACCTCGGATAATACTGGCACAACAGCGTTCTGGATTCGACGCCATAATGCTTTCCTGTACGTCCCACTTTCTTGAAGCTCAGAAGACTCAAGAGACTCTGATGTGGACCAATTTGCGCCTTGTTYTGGGGCCGAGGCGTCCTTTTCTTTTAAGAGATGGTGCACACGACGTAAAAGGACATGCGAAAAGGAGTYTTCATCGAGTTCTGTTGATACGAAAACACAATAAATCTTATCTTTACTAACCAATATCGAAGGGACGTGAAAGAACCTGAGGACGTACAGAAACCCYAGCAGTGACCACCCTCAGTGCCTACACTCATACTAACCACCTTTCACGATTGTAAGGAACTTTGAGTATACACATAGAAACGGCGCGATATAAATCGTATATATATGATAATCACAGTTTTGGCTATCACTGTCATTCACCTTCACTTCTGTCSTTGGTGAGCAAACTTAACAATATCACAATTCTCTTAGTTGCCCTAGAAGCTGTGTGTGGTCCATCTTCAATGCGTCCCGCGGCTGCCTGCACAGACTGCTTAATCACATCAACAGCATCTAACACTTGTTCCTCTTCATCAGTCCTCGAAAAGCACAYGTCAATAGATGCTKCAAAGAGTTCACTCAGAGAATGGTCTTTAACATTCTCCAAGGAAGGGACATAAAAAGAGGGTGTAAAAAGTTCGTCAATGTGAACAGACTCCCATCGTTGCCCCTGGAARCCAACGAAGTTGGGATAGCGACCAAACATCTTGGGAAGCTGAATAATGACAATRATGTGAGTYGGTTCARCATCTTCGTGAATTWCTTCTGTGATTTTGGAACGCTGTTTCAGGAGATGATGTCGAGCACAAGCCAACAAGTTGAATGACAAATCTTCTGCATTGCACTGGACAATCAGGAGGCACTCTCTCCCTCCTTGCTTCGCAAAGAAGTTCCTAGTTAAAAGATAAAGGAAGGTCAGTCACAGCAAAATGATGGTCAGTTTAAAATCAAGTTACTTATAAACGTGTATCGTGTATCGGTTGATGTGTATTCGCCTCTAATCTTGGCTGGGTTGTCGCGATCGATTCCAATTCCATCTGTGTGTTAGCCATGCCCTGTCATTATTCAGCCCAGGGGTTATTACAGGGTTCCATCTGTGAGTTAGCCATGCCCTGTCATTATTCAGCCCAGGGGTTGTTTCAGGGTTCCATCTGTGAGTTAGCCATGCCCTGTCATTGTTCTGCCCAGGGGTTATTTCAGGGTTCTATCTGTGAGTTAGCCATGCCCTGACTTAGATCAGCCCAGAGGTTGTTTCAGGGTTCCATCTGTGAGTTAGCCATACCCTGTCATTGTTCTGCCCAGGGATTGTTACAAGGTATCAATAAAATAAAAACTTTAAAATGAATGAACTTTTTAAAATACCAACCCTACACTATCACAGAACTGTTGTTCTGTTTGGAACTGTTGCAGTGTGATGCAGGATATGGCCTGATGGTACAGATTAAGTGATTGTCCTATCTCTTTCAGGTTCTGTTCGGACAGAAGCTTGGAGTGGGTCGATACCTGATGATAATAAAATTGTTATAGACCTCAATAATCCATGTATACAGAGATGCAGTCTAACTRATAAAAATGCATTGATCRATTCACGTGACCACTATACCTGGATCAAGAGACCATCTTGGTGATGTCTCTTGTCTACACTGGACACAAACGATGCTAAGCTGGAATGTTGTTGCTGCTTATAAATATCCCACAGCTCATCTGCTTCATGTTGTAGTTTACTGTAATGTAACCTGACAATGGCATCTGGTGGACAGCACTGCACAAGCCGTCTCTTGCACTGCATCAGCACCTGCAAAGCAGCTGACGTTAATCMAAAATTGTAACATAATAAGACGCGCACCCTTGATTTTACTATGCGGATGTCCCAACAGGGAATACTCCGATAAACTAGTATCAATAACCAATCATATTGCGACATTTAGTTCAGTATTTTCAACCAGCCAATCAGATAGCGCATCGATATAATAAGAGCGTGAGAAGGTGATAATCTGATTGGCTAACACGGTTATCAGTTCAATCTATGTCTAGTTTACTGTTTTCTGATTAGTCAGTGAGGCGCTTTCTATTCTACACGAAACCAACAAGCTAAAATCCAATAGTCCCCTTCACAGTTCCCGGCGCCATCTTGAAAGGTAGCCGTGCCTTTGCATCGAACCGAGAAGTACGGTGATATTGCGTTAAAAACATCTTTTAAAGCCTTGGATAATTATCTACATGTCTCTATCATTGCAAGCTCACCGTTCGTCCTGCATTGTTGCAAAGGCATGGCTACCTTTCAAGATGGCGCCGGGAACTGTGTAAGGGACTATTGCATTTGTGGGTTAGCCGTGCCCTGACTTAGATCAGACCAGCCTTGYTTAGTGAACGATACAATTACCTCCTCTTCCCATTGATCTTTCAGGTCGTCAACAACTGTTGTTCCATCTTGTCCAAGTTGACTGCAAACTTGCAAGACTACTGAAGGAATGGTGTCGTCATGGTAACCTACAAACGCGTCATCTTCTGTGAATTTCCTGACAAAAAATAAACAATTATTAGGTCTAGCTTTTCTTTTACATTACGCCATCGCCGCCATGTTGGTATTTTATAAAAGATTTCTATATGGCCGCCACGTCTTTGTTTCTAGACTCTCTCGGATTGATACTACATCAAGTTGCAGGCAGATCTCTGACTTACTTTTTATTTCCTMTGTAGCCTGGTATATCGATGCTCGAGAAAMGTTGAACCCAACKTTTAAGCGTTGCGACCAATTTTTCTTGTGGTTTTGTGAGGCTTGTAGACAAAACAAGGAAATGTTTCTCYAGTCTGTTTATCAATGGGATTGGGAACTTTTTGTACACTGTGTCCTTCTCGGCTATTACAATCAGCCTGTGAATAACCATCAAAAAATATATTACAAATTATTAGAGTAGATTCTAGCCTCCTTCACTGGAGACTATGAAACAGAAATTAGAAAAGAAATTGGGCTTCCTGTGGAATGAGGAAGAGTTCCCTTGAGATAATACTGAGTAGATTCCATGACGACTGTCRAGCTGCACGGATTACGGCACGGTCATGGTGCAGACTGACGAGACTGCACCAATCAAAGCGCGCAAGATCACTAATTATGCAATCAGAATACACGCACGCGGCACTGCCTAGTCATTCCCAGTCAGTAAAGWATTCTCCACGCGCTAGACAAGCAAGTACAATCTTTATCGTCATTGTAGTTTTACCTGAAGTCTTTATGTACTCTGCACTTGACACGGTGTGATCCTAATCCAAGGTCAACATAACGGTTGCCTGCGAATTCTACGTAATACTGAAAAACAAAATTTCATCACGTGCTACCAACATTTAGATTAAAGTGATTGGTGAAAATAAAATCGGAAAAACTAAATAATAATATTTTTTTTAATTCGAGGTCAAGATAATGACCTCCGTAATACGAAAGAGTAAAAAAATCGATAATAATTGATAATCGATAATAATTGTTTTCCTATATAATTCCCCTATGGTATCTAATGTTATTTTCACCGTTCACTTTAATCTAAATTGGGCTCCCTGTGACTCAACCGCATATCGAATGTGCATGTATAATAGCTGTAGCTAATGCGACGCCACCCAACTCTGAGGGAATGGGTTCTATTRGCCATTCCAAGGTTGAATAAAAGACTGGGTCGAGTTGGCATAACAGTGCATTGTGGGKCTGTTTTACGGGACATATTTCCAAGATGGCGTCTATTTAGTTCCCTAAAACACTCCCACAATGCAYTTGAACGCCAACTCGACCCAGTCTTTTGCTCAACCTCGAAATGGCTAATACTCATATCCCCTGTCATGTGTCAATTTCTTGTTGCGCAATTTCTCAGGCTTTCCTCCGTCCACAAAAAAAAAATTTAAATTCAATCTAAACCAAATTTTGTTATTATCCAAAAATAAGTTACTCGATACTCCCATCTAAAAGAAATACTGCGAAGAGACCTAAAAAGGACGGATAATATATCGATTTATRATGGATTTACTCACCTGATTCAAAGCATCATACAAGCCCTCGTAAAGACTTTCCATATTCAGCAGAATAACAGTGCGACCAGTCTCCATGCATACTTTAATATCATTGATGTT